TCACAGGTCAAAGGTCAGAGGTCTGTGTTCAAAGGTCAGAGATCAGAGGTCAAAGGTTAGAGGTCAAAGGTCAGACATCAGAGGTCAGACATCAAAGGTCAGAGGTCACAGGTCAGATGTCAAAGATCACAGGTCAAAGGTCAGAGGTCACAGGTCAGATGTCAAAGATCACAGGTCAAAGGTCAGAGGTCATGATTAAACTACAGGATGAAGTGAAGCTTTAACAACAACTCCTCAGTTTGTTCTTACGTTTACACAGATCCAGGAACAGCTCCTCGATGCCTTTATTTAACTTGGCTGATGAGTGGTAGTGTTTGGCTCCCACCGACTCCGCGTAGCTGCACACAAACACACAAACACACAAACACACAGGTCAGAGGTCAGAGGTCAGAGGCAGCAGGAAGCATGGAACCAGCAGCTCTGACTGGTCTCCTCACCTCTCAGCGTCCTCCACTGAGACGTGTCTGTCTTTGTCCAAATCTATTTTATTACCTGGAGGGACACAAACAGAGACGCCRATCAAACCTTTAACCAGACAGGAAGTTAAAATGTCTCCTCAGCTAACCACTTCCTGCTGGGRAGGATCAGATTTGACTCAAACACAAAATAAATCCAGTCCAACCCTGCTGACAACACACAACAACAAACAATAAACAACAACTCTGACTCTGTCACTGATGAAGGAAAATTAATCAACAGAAGAAGAATGACTGACTCAGTAAAAACTCACCAACTATACATAAACAGATGTCATTTCCCAACATTTTCCTCAACTCTTTGACCCAATTCTTCACCTGAAACGAGACAAAAATTAACTGGTGTCTGAAAAACTGGAAATTAAACGAGCAGGTTTTAATTTAAAACAACAGCCTGAGCAGAAAAACAAACTGAWCTGATCTCCTGCTTCAAGAAGTTCAACAAATAAAACTCTGTTTTTCTAAAATAAAGCTTACGTCAGTGTATTTTATTCAGGGTATAAAAAGTAAAAACTGAGATGACTCAAAGTGTCCACCAGAGGGCGCTCCGACATTCAACCATGACTCAGAGCATTTAGCCCCGCCCCCTCAGCTAAATAAAATAAATAAACCTCCACTTTTACCTGAATTAGTTGATGTAAACAACAACAAACTAGTTTCAGTGYTGTTTTGTCTCCATGTTGGACTGGAGCTTTTTAAATAAACAAACAGGAAGTGAACTTTGTTATAAAAACAGATTAGATTTAAAAAACAAAGATTAATTTACAAGAGTTTAAAATCAGAGTTAATATCTGTTTATTTTCACTGGATTATATTTACATCATATTTAAAAGAAGGAAAAAGCACAAACAGGTAATACTGAGGGATGATGTCATCGTTTCACTTTGTGATTTTTCTTTTTTTTTTATTCTAATGTTACTTTTATGTTTCCTGCTCCTCGGTGCATCGATAAAATCAGGAGCTTTTCACAAATATTGATTCTGAAATGCGGGTCTGCACTAAACGTAAACAAAACATTCAGCTGATATAAACCAGGTGGAACCCTGCAGCCGACCAACGCTAGGCTAACTGTACTCTGGGGAACAAGCTGTGGCTCCTGGGCCCCGTGTGGCCCTCTGCAGCCGCTGTGTTGGTCGACACGTTACCTTCTGGAAGGAGTCTTCGTCCGTCACGTCGTAGACCAGCACGGCTCCGTTGGAGTCTCTGTAGTAGATGGGACCTAAGGCGTGGAAACGCTCCTGACCCGCCGTGTCCTGCACACAGGAGGTCAAAGGTCACGGCTGCAGCCCCAGGCTGCAGGAAGCTAACGGAGCCAGACTCACCCAGATGGCCAGGTTGACCCGTTTCCCTGTGATGTTCAGCTTCTTTGTGAGGAAGGACGCCTGCGGAGGACAAGGAGCTCTTTAACAAGCATCAATCAGCTGTTTCATGTTCTGATCCGAAAACACTTCATGTGAGGAGAAACGATCGGACTCAGGCGAGAGACGCCGTCACACGATCAGATCAAACTCTCCTCGGAGAGAAACGCTCTGCTGAAGAAAGCTGCGCTCAGTCCAACGTTCATTTAAGGTTTTATTTCAGAAAACAGAAAAACAAACTGAAAAAGATAAGCTAAGCTAAGCTAAGCTAAGCTAAGCTAAGGACCCACTTGTTCACACAGTCTTATGTTTCTTTTTTCCTCTTATAGTTTCATTGTTTGGTGTTTTGTCTGTTTTCTTATAAACTTTTATTTTGCTTTTATCTTCTTGTAATTGTTTAAAGTGTCTGTGACAGGCCTGTGCATCGAATACAAAAAGTCAAAGAAAACACTTTTATATAAGAAACATTACATAAAAAGTGATTTTACGCATCTTGTCACATAAATGGCCTTAGTTTGTTTTGAGCTCGGCTGAGTCAAAGTGAAACAGGAAGTGACATCAAAGGGGAACTCTTGAAGAGAACTCTAACCTGTGTTTGAACTCTGACTCTTCATCTCTCTGACAGAAACTGTAAATAACGTAAAGAAACATCAGATTCTTCTCTACAGTTTGTGTCGTTGGTTATTTTATCAACGCTCTGCTCCGTGCAGACCTCTGACATCACTTCCTGTTTCGTCACAAGCAAATATCTCAACAGCTGTTCACCTCAGCGACGTGAAATTAGTTTTACAAAATGTTGTTAAAGTTACGTTTCAGAAAATACCTTTATATTTATTTTAAATGTTTTATGTCACAGGCACTTTAAAACTC